AGATTACATTTTTAAATGCTATATGTACTCTACATCACTTTCATAATGGAATAGAGGGAAGATGTCCTTTGGTAACAGTGGATAGCCTCAGAGTTCTGAATTAAAGTATCTCAGGTTTCTTTCATTCACATCATCTTTCTTCCCTACTTATGATCTCAGTGGGGTTTCTTGGATTCTGTGATGATGTGCCTTTTTGCCATCTAGTATGTGTATGCCATAGAAATATTGGATATTAGCCGGGTATGGTGGCAGGCGCCTGTAATTCCAGCTACTCTGGAGGCCGAGGCAGGGAATTCCTTGTACCTGGGAGGCAGAGGTCGCAGTAAGCTGAGATCGTGCCACTGCACTCCAGTCAGGGTGACAGAGCAAGACTCCGTCTCAAAAAGAGAAAAATACTGGATAGAAGTAGGATCAGCACTAATCTATGAGAAATTTTGTATGATTAGACACAAAAAAGTTGAATGCTTATCCTACCATCCAGTAAAAAATACTTTTCAGTGACCCCCAAAATAGCACTTTATTAATGAAAAAATATAATTTTATCACGACCATTTTTTAATGCTACAAGATTCTCCAGGAGCAAAGGATAAGAAGAAAAAAAGAGAAATTTTAATAAGGTATTATTATAGTGGCAGAATGTGGTTGCAGTGAATTTAAATAAGGATAATAACAGCTCTTCACAGTAAAGTTGTGAAGATTAAATCAGATAATACATGTCAGAAATTTAATACTTTGCTGCTATTATTACTGTGTGAATATGTACAATATGGTACCTGTTTGTAGGCAGCTGATATTGTGTTACTGTTTGCATTAATTTAACTTTAATGGGTAAAGATGGCAGGTGAAACTCCTAGCTAAACATCTGGGGGCAGGAATGGCAGTGGACTCCTTACTGAAAATAAGAAGATAAAGTGGAACTCTCAATACTGAACTATGAGTTAGCTAGCTTCTTGCCTTTATTCTACTCTGAGATCTGACAGCCCATCTCATACTACCTGAGATAGATTCCTCTACAGAAAAATTTAACCAACCTGAAGAAAAACCTTTAAAAAGTCATGTTGGGGGTATGAGGCATGGCTAAGGAAAAAGTTTTGCTGTTCCCTTACCTACAATGAAGCTCACCACAGAAAACTCCTACCCATGCACACAAGAGATGTTCCAATTAGCTTTCTCTGTGTCTCTCAAATATGAAGGATCCCGAGAAAGTTACAGCCAAGATTCTAACTTGAAAGACTATGACCAAACCAAATAGCAAAAAGTAACTTCAAGGAAATACAGGGTTGAATAGCCCTTATCTGAAACAGCTGAGAACATAAGTGTCTCAAATTCTGAAATATCTGCTTGTATATAGAGATACCTTGGGGATGGGACCCAGTCTAAACAAAATTCATTTATATTTCATGTACACTTAATACAAACAACCTAAAGTTAATTTTATACAGTATTTGAAACTAATTATGTATATGAAACAAAGTTTTGACTGTGACCTGTCACATAAAATCATATATGGAATTTTCTACTGTGGCATCATGTAGGCACTCAAGAAGTTTTAGATTTTGGAGCATTTTGGATTTCAGATTTTCAGGTTATGGATGCTCAACTTGTAGTGTTAATGCAGGGAACGAAGAAAATTTTAAAACAACCAAAAAGCCTAAATTAATATACTTAGAATTGTAAGACATTGCACTCTCAAGAACAAGGTCCTACTTAAAAGATGTGGATTACCAGCTAACGTGCAGTGGCTCATGCCTGTAATCCCAGGAGTTTGGGAGGCCAGGATAGGAGAATCACTTGAGGCCAGGAGTTTGAGACCAGCCTGGGAAACACAGTGAGACCCCTATCTCCACAAAATTTTAAAAATTAGGCATGAGCCCATAGTCCTAGCTACTCAGGAGACTGAAGTAGGGGATTGCTTGAACAAAGGAGTTGAAGGTTACAGTGAACGGTGATTGTGCCATTGCTCTACAGCCTGGGTGACAGAGGGAGACGTTATCTATAGTGAAAGAAAAAGACTTGGATTCCTCATATCTTAAATGCAAGAGAAAACAAAGGGAAGTCCCAATATGACCAATTCTATTATGATAATTGTGTTACTTGACTGAGACAGTAGTCAATCCAGACTGAAGGCTGTAGAACTCCAAGAAGAATGTTTCCCTGTGATTTAGAGTATAAATAATGACAAATGATTCTGATGATTAATAGAAGATACAAATGAAATTGAACGAATTATAACCAAGGCAATTACTACTTCCACAAATACAAAAATATTATAAAAGAAAATGGTAACATAGTATACTATAGAAGGCAATATTTATTTATATATTAGATATGAATTTAACAAAAATTATACAATTAGTAGACATGCCAGTGTAAGATCAGGTTGGGGAGGAGAATGGGGGAGAAGTATGAAAAGCATAATCTTCATCTTCCATCGCAGGGAATTAGATAATATTTATAATTTTTTTTAAATGAGGGAAATAGAAGTGGATGAGGCAATATGGCAATATGTTTGGAGGTTAGATCCCCAGATTTAAAAAAAATACTTTACTTTTTAATAAACAGAGTCAGAGTCTTGCTTTGTTACCTAAGTTGGTCTGAAACTCTTGGCCTCAATCCTCTTGCCTCAACCTCCTAAAGTGCTAGGATTATAGGCTTTAGCCACCATGTCTGGCCAAATGCCCAGATACTAAGAATCAGAATCTAATCCAAGCTCTGTCACTTACTTAATCTGTGACTGTGTAAATTACTTAATATTTCTGCTCCAGAAGTTTATTCATCTCTAAAATGACTGTCTAAGAATTTACTTCATAAAGGCAGAGATCTTAGAACATAACTGGCATATTTTTAATGTGTTCAAATAAATGTTATAATTAAAACCTAGTTACTTGGAAATGTAGAAGTAAACAGAAAAGTAACTAAAAGTTGACAATGGCTGCCGCTGCAGAATGGGAATGAGAGGTAGGGAAAATGGGACCGGGGGCTAACATTTACTTTCTGGTGTCTTACAGTAACACTGTCCAATATAATTATTTTTCTTTTTTTTAAGATAGAGCTTCATTCTGTCGTACAGGCTGCCCAGGCTAGAGTGTAATAGCACGATTTTGGCTCACCACAACCTCTGCCTCCCAGGCTCAAGCAATTCTCCTGCCTCAGCCTTCTGAGTAGCTGCACGCCACAATGCCTGGCTAATTTTCGTATTTTTTGGTACAGATGGGGTTTCACCATGTTGGCCAGGCTGGTCTCGAACTCCTGAACTCAAGTGATCCACCCGCCTCAGCCTCCCAAAGTGCTGGGATTACAGGCATGAGCCACTGCACCTGGCTCAATAGAATTTTAATGCAAGCTATTACATGATTTGAAATCTTATATTTAAAAATTTTTTAAATAAAGTGAAATTTTAATTTTTTATTTAATCCCATGTATCCAAAATACCATTTAAAATATGTAATCATTAACATATTAGAGACAACCTTGTACTATTTGAAACCCAACATTTATTTTTACATTTACAGCACATCTCAATTCACACTAGCTACATTTTAAGTGTTCAATAACGACTTGTAGTTAGTAGCAATTATACTGGACAGTGCACCTATGGTAATACTTGATTTTTAAAAACAATACATATCATCAATGGCTGCTATTAAATCACAGAAAGAGAAACTCAACCATTTTTTTCTCCTGATTAAAGACTACTATTTTGTTTATACAGCAGTCTAAAAAAAAAAAAAATAACAGAAGAAAATAAAGCAAGCAAACAAGTGAGCCTGAATATGATCAAGCCTATAGATTCAATTACCAATTTACAGAAAATATGGAGAAGGAAATAACACAATAAATGGCATGTCAAGGATGCAATCAGCAAAATCCAGATGGTGAGAGACTCTTAGGTAGACAAGCAAACCAAAAACAGGAATTTTTAAAATGTGAGGGAGAAGGAATTCATGAATTTAAAAAGACATTGCCCAGTGCAGTGGTTCACACCTGTAATCTCAATACTCTGTGAGGCCGAAGCAGACAGATCACTTAAGGACAAGAGTTCCAGACCAGCCTGGCTAACATGGCGAAGCCCCATCTCTAATAAAAACACAAAAAATTAGCCAGGCTTGGTGGCATGTAATCACAGCTACTCTGAAGGCCAAGGCAGGAGAATCGCTTGAACCTGGGAGGAAGAGGCTGCAGTGAGCAAGACTGCACCACTGTACTTCCGCCTGGGCAATAGAGCAAGACTGTCTAAAAATAATAATACTAATAAAATAATAAAAAGATTTGTCAATAAATTGTAATGTGTGGCCCTTATTTAGATCCTGACTAGAACTATTTAACAATTTTTATATTTGTGAAATAACTGAAAATCTGATACTATTTTTACTAATTCTTTTTGAGGCACAATAATATTTTTAGTTTTTTAAAAGAGCTATTAGGAATATATGCTGAAATATTTATGGATAAAATTATATGCTAGCCAGGATTTGCTTCAAAATAAGATGGGGGATGGTAACTTGGGGGAAGTGGGTGGGAGTTCAGATGAAATAAAATTGGCCATAAATTGGTAACTACTGAAGATGAGTAATAGGGACATGGAGGTTCCTTACACTACTTTACTCCTGTATATGTTGATTTTAATTTTCCACAGTAAGAGACTGAAAACAAAACTATGAGGCATGGTATTAATTTTAAAAATAAAAACTTACAAAGACTATAGGTCCTACCTAAGCCCAACATTAATTCCTTCAGACCTGAGGAGAGCTTTTTCATTTTATTTCTTATGTTAACATAAGCCTAGGAAAGCTGTATATATCAGCAGTTTAACTTTACACATCCCTTTCCAGCTCATCTGATACCCTCCATCAGAAATAAATTTTCTATTTAAAATCTGTTTATAAATGATTTGAAATTACCCCTTTGACAACCTATAAAAGGCTTTAATACTTAAGGAAAAGACTTCTCAAAAAACAACATCAGGAAAATTCAAAAGATAAATTCAAGACACTAGTCGATAAAGCTGGAGAACTTACTTTTATTCTTGCAGTTTTATACTAGGAAGTCAACATTTAATTTAATAAGCCATTGTCCACAATTGATTAAAATGTTTAATCCTTCAATTGTACATCAATATCCTATGACTCCAAATTTTATTCATCACTCTCCTTCAAGTCTGAAGAAAATATTAATTTGCTAAGTTCCACAGACAGTACGTCCCACTGACAGTATGTCCCACTGACGTAACATTTAGTATGATGTCCTACCCTCATATTAGAATTAAGGACAGCCAGTATCAAACTGGCCTGAAACCTGATTGTGTTCCTGGCTCAGAATACCTATAGCAAATTTGTAAATCCACACCAAGACACAGAATTAAACTAGGGTGTGTTTATCTTATAAAAAACTTTTCACAGTAAAAATCAACATTAAAATTTTATCAAATTCCGACATTATGGTTTTTTAATCCAATTAAGCTTTCAAAATGCCTGATTAGCTGTGAATTATAAATAACTTCATGTAGTTTGCCCAGCATTTCAAAATGGTTATGGAATACAGCTTTTAAAATGTCAAAGTATGCTATACATATTGCACTTTTCTGCTAGGCTGGGCTAGTATCTTCCATGGCAAGATCCTCAAACTATTGAATAAAATACACTTTTAAATCAATATAGGTACTTGATTAATTTCCCTGAAATTATCAACATCGTTACCAAAATCTTCCAGGATTTTGTAAGATTTGATTCCTTAAATACAATTTTAAAGTTAAACTTACGGAGGGGGAAAAAACCCCTCATATACTGACTGTAAATTTTACGTCCTTTTTTGGTCCCTCAATGACCAAAGAGAATTTTAAACAAATTATGCTTCATGTTTCCTTCTTAATTAAAAGCTACAATTTCTATTATCCAAATTAAGAAATATTATACTAATCAAAAGCTATTAATTTTGAAATGTCTATGTATGTCTGTCTGTAGGTCCCCTTAGAACCTTTCCAAACATTTATAATCAAGAGATTTTAATCAATTATGTACTAGAATCATATTAAAGAAAAACTTATTTTGCAAAAATAAAATCACTTTCCAATATGCTTGACAGAAACAAGCTATTCATTTTCATTTGTGTTCCACTGAAGACATTACTGAAATCTGTCCAATGGTTTATTTCCAAGCAGTCCACTACGGAATTCTTCGGAATGTTTTAAGATTGGCTGTAGCTAGAGTTCTGACTTCCATTTGGACCCTGCTCTCCTTCACTGTTCAAATGGGGAAGAAAGAGATTTTATACCAATTAAAAGATCCATTTTAACAACCTGATAAGCCTACTAACTTTAAATTTCATTATTCTATGGCACAATGATATAAAACAAAGACATTCCTCATTATAAGACACGTGAAAAATTAAAATCCAGAAGACTAACATTTGGTTTTATGTTTTTATTCTTATGTAACTTTGTGCCCTCACACATAACAAGCATTCTGGAAGTTAGTGTCCATATACACTCAGAAACTTTAAATTAGGGTATGGGATTTAATTGTTATTACAGGTATCACTCAACATAGAGATTATAGCTTCTTCTAAACAAATTTCCTATAAAATTAAATCTTATGTATAAAATCCTATTCCACTATTTATGAAAAACAAGAAGTGTTCAAAAAAACATATAAATACAGCAAATCTTTATAAGTCAGAAAGAAATATAATTTCCTGGAAAATGCTGAATACTTAAAATAAAAATGCTGAATACTTATAAATAACTAAAACTGAAAATACCAGTAACTGTGGCAATAGGATTATTGCCTTATCTTGTCCACCATCATCTTGCAGCTTCAGGCCCTGCCACTAGTGGAGAATCACTCAGGGAATTTCTGCAAAAAATGCATCCAAAGGTAGCTGTTTGAATGACTGCCTTAAACAGCTCCTTGAATAAATTATTAACTTTTTCCAAATTGTAACATTAACTTATCAGTAGCAATCCATAAGTCTATCTTGTTATATAACAATCATTTTTCTAAAGAAACAATGAAGATGGATAGCATTTCTTTATTTCTCTGCTGACTTTTTCTCTCTGCCCCAAATGAATTGATATACAGTGAGGGCTGAGAACCACAGAACTAAATGAACAGATCCTGCTTAAAACACTCACACACACACACACCCAACAATAACAACAACAAGAAAAAGCTCAGCACAGGTGATTCATTTTTAGCCAAATTATATTCTTATGTGCTGTGGATCTTAGGGTCATTTAAAAACCAAAATTCTTTATCTTTACAATATCGGATCATTCACTGAAATTTTTGAAAATTGCTGAAATTTATAAAACAGGACAATAGCCAGCAGTGAAAAAAAAAAAAAGATGGCACAGAGTCAAACTGACATGAAACTACTACAGTTCTAAATTTTGCCTGAATTTCAGATGAAATTGCTAATGCTGTCAGCTTTAAATTTATGGTATATGACCATATGTTGAGAGATACCTGTAATACACCTCTACTCATTAGGAAAAGTTACTAATCAGATTAATTTTTTTTTAAATGAGACATAATCAATCAAGTCACAAATTTAAAAAATAAAATTAACATGGATCATGAAATTTTGGAAGAAATGTTTTTAAAAAAGATATAAAATAACATAATCTAAGGAAAGTATGTTAAGTATGATATATAATTAAATGACAATAATTAAAGTCTACAAAGTACCTGTTTGGAGGTGGTTTTGGTTTTGGCATCTTACTAAGTATAGTTGCCATCTCTTTTCTTTCATCGAAATTCTTCCACTGCTCATATAGTTTTAAAATAACCCTGATTATTTCCAAAATCTAGAAGAAAATATTAGAAAAGTTCTTAGTGGCAAAAACAAGCAATATTTCTTATATAAAGAGCACACATCACTTATTAGACAACCCTCAGAAAACAGTAAATAGTCTCTGACCCTAAGTGCTCAGGTTAGGTTAGACAATCCTGATAATCTGAAAGCAGTATTTTTCACTAAAGTGCCATTTAGGATTTTCCTTCTGGCCCCTCACTTTTCAGCACGTATGTACTGTCCGTTCTTATCTATCTCTGCAGTTGATTTCCTTCCATTTGATGACATCTTTTAAACTGAAACATACTAAGAATAAAGGTTCTAATCATGAAGGAATATACCACTATAGAACATACTCCTCATATAAATTGTTTTCAACAACTTAATGGGGGATAGTGCACAAAAGATGTTTTGTTCCTCTGTTAACTACACATAAGTTAAGGTGCTCAAAAATTGGCAGCTTACAAATTTGAAATAACTAGTTTCCAAATTTAGCCCTTTTTTCCCACCTGAGTAGACTCCAACATTAGGATTAAGTTTAATGCATTTACCATCTGAGCAAAAAAGCTAGAAACACAGCAAAAGCCATTTTGCCAGGAGACAGGCTATGTTACAGCATTTCACAGTTGTATTCCGTTGTAACAGGGAGCTTTTAAAATAATCTTGGGAATTAGAGGCTACTTTGCAACAAATCAAACCAAAAGCTTACCATTCTGCTTAATCCTAAACTGAAAAGAGATACATAACTTAAATAATCAGCATTAACTTTTCCCACCAAACATGTTTTGTTTGTTGTTTGTTTTGAGATGGAGTCTCCCTCTGTTGCCCAGGCTAGAGTGCAGTGGTACGATCTTGGCTCATTGCAACCTCTGCCTCCCGAGTTCAAGCAATTGTCTCAGCCTCTCAAGTAGCTGGGACTACAGGTGTGTGCCACTATGCCCAGCTGATTTTTGTATTTTTAGTAGAGATGGGGTTTCACCATATTAGTCAGGTCTTGAATTCCTGACCTTAGGTGATCCACCCACCTGGGCCTCCCAAAGTGGTGGGATTATAGGCGGGAGCCACTGTACCCAACCCATGTTTCTTAATATTTTGTAAGCAATAATCTTCTGAGCCTGGGGGACATCATAAGATTTTAGGCGCATGATAAGTAAATATGACATTAATTTTTAGACATTTAAGTTTATATACAACTAAGGGAATTTTACAGAATACCTTCTCCATATCCACAGAAAGCTCAGCAAACCATTGCCTGGCATCTTTCTGCTGTACAACACAGGCTACATGTAGGCAAGCTGAAATGAAAATGAGAGACCACTGTCCATGTTTAACTACAAACACAGAATATATGATTCTAACAAAGATTTTTCACTACAAATTTCCTGTGTATTTTCCAACACTCTTTAAAAAATTATACAGCTACATATGAGAGTTACCATTGACCATCTCATCAACTTAATCTGAGACAGAAAAAAATTACTAAATTACATCAAGGTTATTGATGTCTGGTCCTTACTGTGTGCTAGTCATGCTGCAGTTGCCTTGGGAGTCAGGCATGTTAAAAGAGGGAAAAACATCCAATGAGACAGAAAAGTGGAGTTATCCCTGGGCAGTGTACAAAGTAGCAGTTAAACTGCACCCAGCAGTCAGTGTGACAAAAACAAACAAAAATGTCAATTAACACACTAGGTTTTAACAACGTTGACCATGTTTCCACATTTCAATTAAAAGCAATGTTGCACTGGGCGTAGTGGCTCGCGCCTGTATTCCCAGCATTTTGTGAGGCCAACGTGGGTAAATCACCTCAGGTCAAGAGTTTGAAACCAGCCTAACCAACATGGAGAAACCATGTCTCTACTAAAAATACAAAATTAGCTGGGCATGGTGGCGCATGCCTGTAATCCCAGCTACTCGGGAGGCCGAAGCAGGAGAATCACTTGAACCCGGGAGGCGGAGGCTGCAGTGAGCCAAGATTGCGCCATTGCACTCCAGCCTGGGCAACAAGAATGAAACTCTATCTCACACACACACACACACACACACAAATGCAGTGTTGCCTCGCCTTTTTCTTTCCTTTCATTATTAGAATATATGATCACGTTATATGAAAGTTGGGCACATCCTCACAGAATTCAGTATTGTAATCAAACAGAGGTGAAAACAAATGTAATATATTGTATACAATATTAGTTATACATGTTATAACAATATAAACTAATAAAGATAGTAAAAGTGCTCAAAGACAAGAATCTATATCACAATTTTGCCTAGAACAATTTCTACTGAGCAGCCTGGCTACCCTGAACCGCCCCCCCACCCCAGCTTAAGTTATATTCCTTGGTCTGGTTACTCATATTACTTTGCTAAGGATGACATTCTAGGCAAACAGCAACTCAAATGTGAATTTACACACTGGTTGCCCTAAGTCAAAGCTATAAGTAGGGCTTAGGTCAAGAAGGGCTTAAAAAACTAAAGGACTGAAATAATAAAAACAAGAAATTAAAATATAATGGAAAATGCTATTAACATGAACATGCATAGAGTACACTGGAGATTGAGAAAGCATCCTAAACCCAGACTGTGGTGATGCTGAAAGGGTAGGGGGAGGGTCACAGGTGATATCTAAGCCAAATCTTATTTAAAAAAATGACAGTGGAAAAGATAAATAGTATGTATATAAGTTAGAAGACAAATCTTGCTGGTACCAGGTTTCTCCATCTTGGCACTACTGACATCTTAGATTGGAGAATTGTTTAACACTGTCTTGCATACTACAAGATGCTTCGCAGCATTCTCGGCTTCTACCTACTAGATGCCAGTACCACCCAACCCTAGTTATGACAGCTAAAACCAAACATTGCCAAATGTGCCCTTGGGGACAAAATTATACCCCATTGAAACCACTAGCCTAGCTCCACAGTGTGGAGGATAGACCAGCTCTCTGAGCATGGGAATGCTGGAGAGTAGTAATAAGCCAGTTAGGAGACTGCTGTAGTAACATGGATAGAAATGAGATGATGACTATGAAATTACAGAAGGGACAATTGAGAGGAAGGCACGAAATGTATTGGTAACCAACTACATGTGGGTATTGAGGGAGATGAAAGGGCCTAACTGCTGGGTTTCCAACTAAGGTAAATAACTAGTGCTATTCACCAAGCTGGCAAAGACATTAAAAGGAGGAACATATTTTGGCAAAAGTGATGAGCTCAATCCTCATTATGAGTCTGAGGCGCTGGTGAGATGCCAAGTGGAGCTGTGTAAAAGGAAGATGGATATAAGATCTGCCGAGTGGCTAGCTCTTGGCTAAATAAAGAAATTTCAATGTTTCAGCACATAAGTGATTGTGGAAGCTATGAGTCTCAGTGAAAGTACCCAAGACAGAAAGCAGTGATGGCAAAGATGTGACACATGTTCTGTTATCCCCTCCTTCCTACCTATGCAGATCCCAGTATTCCTACCCACTGAACCCAGACACCACTTCAAAATCCCTTAAATCCAGTCCTTTCATGGAGCTGCCAGTAATACGGAAGTGTAAGTATAACCTATTTGTCAGCCCTGATGTAAGAAAGCCAAGAAACATCAACATTTAAGGAATAATTGAACAAATAAACAAAGAGAAACTAATGGAAAATAAGGGGAAAATCAAGAGGATGGAGTTATAAAAATCAATAGAAGGGACTGGGTGCGGTGGCTCATGCCTATAATCCCAGCACTTTGAGAGGCCAAGGCAGGTGGATCACCTGAGGTCAGGAGTTCAAGACCAGTCTGGCCAACATGTCGAAACCCCATCTCTACTAAAAATACAAAAATTAGCTAGGTGTGGTGGTGCACACCTGTAATCCTCCTGTAGCTACTCAGGAGGCTGAGGCAGGAGAATTGCTTGAACCAAGGGAGCGGAGGTTGCAGTGAGCCGAGATCACACCACTGTACTGCAGCCTGGGAGACAGAGTGAGATTCCGTCTCAAAAAAAAAAAAAAAAAAAAAAAAAAAATCAATAGAAGGGAAAGGAAAAGAAAAGAAATTAACAAGTGCCCAATATATAGCAGGCATTATTTGGTGCTCTACAAACTATCTCATTTAATTCTTCAAATGACTCTATGGCATTAATATCCTCTCCATTTTACAATTAAGGACCCAAACACAGAAAGGTCAGATAATTTTCCCACAATTGTAAAGGAAGTAAAGTTTAAGCCTAGAACTATCTGACTCCACCCATTACAGCACTGCCTTCCACAGACAGTAGAATGAATGTAGCTGATGTAGCTGACTTCTGTCTCTAGCCAGGCATTATGGACCACAAATGCTCCTTTACTCAATCTCTGAGTACTTGTTTGGGTTCAGGAGGTGAAAGGCCCAATTATTTTACACGCTACAACTAATACTGGCTTAATTCTGAACTTTTCCCTGTAAACAAACAAATACATTCTTTTCAGACACTGATTAAAACTACTTTGAATGGTTTCAAAAAAAAAAAAAAAAAAACCAAAAAACTTAACCAAAGAAAAGGGAGTGGGGGAACAATAATCCTGATTTGTGTCAGTTGCAGTTCATATTATTGAAAGTTCACATGCAAGGATTAGTCTATTACTTCATGGAAGATAAAAACATAAAGTACAATAGGGTGAAATTTAGTTTAGGATGACCTAAATAGGTTTATAACAATTTAACTAATAAAGGCCCACCATGCTTACATACCTAAAGCTATCATGAAAGGAGGATACAGTAGGCAAAGATCCGTTCTGTAGGTATCATTCACTATCCTCCTATAGAAATGTAAATCATATTATTACTGAAAGCAGATCTACCTCATCTGTACATTTCCTCCAGAGAGGGCCAGATTTCCCATCTTTGTACACATTTATTTCCTTTTATATTACTGAAGCACAGCTATAAAAGTGAAAACATCAAGGCAAAAGGATAGATACATGAATGTGACAACAAATACACATATCAACGAATAAAATTACAGCTAAATATACTTTAAATTTCAAAATTTCATAACAAATTACAAACACATTTTTCTAATTTTTTAAAAATCAGAAAATCAAATTAAAAAACCAGAAGTTAAACAGTAAATGTATATGTACGTTACATACTACCAAAAAGTATTCTGATTACTTTAAAGATAGCTTCAGTCTTAATTTTTATGTTACCAGTCTGTTTCATATAAAATTAAATTTTAATAAGTATATTTATAGAACAGATAATTTAGGATGGTTTTCATTTTGTTATTTACTCCACTACAGTTATTAAAATTAAAAAAGTGGTATTTTGCTCAACACAAAATATCTTGGGGCAATAGTTTAATGACTTTAAAAATACTGAACTTCATATTTAGTTGTCAACCTTCCTATCTAGCAACATGTTACACTATTAATAACTTCTGTTCTAATTACCATGCAAGGGGAAGCAACATGTCTTCTTGGCCCATGTCCTGCACATACTGGAGCAAAGGTCTATAAGGATGATACACTATCAAGCAACAATCCTAGAAACAGTTTAAAAAATGTGTATGTATAAAAAACAGATTTATTACAACACAAAAATGATATCATTACCCAACTCATTTGTAATTGTATTATTTCAAAGTGAATTTCATTAACTCATGCTTGCTTCCCTTTTATTTGCTTAAGCAAGCAGTATGACAGCCCTAAACTCTACTATAATAGTGAAGGCAGTGCTCTCTCTGGAATATACCTTGATAAATCGGTTGGCAGTCAGTCAGCATCCATTCATTCCCTTAGAGACTCAAAGTGTCACATCTGCAACACACTGAAACCTCTTATTAGCCTATAAATCCATAATTCCCAACTGGAGGAGCAGAATTCTGCCAAAGACATAATCTATCTTTAAATAACACTGCACGCACACACAAATTGTGCACATAATTTACAGTGGTTTAATGTCCTGACTTGTCTGTTTGTAATACTTTTATTACAGTTACTTAATATAGAATAGAAAAGTTTTCCCATCCTAAGTAGGATATATAAAGTATTTTACAGGCTTCAGAGAGAATACAGACGCTAATATAAATAGGCTACCATGATTTCACTATCACATATCAGGTGGATGGCTTTAAAATGTATCTCCCTAATATCATTTCTTTAAATAATTTCCAACTTCATTAAATTTGAAAATGTTTTAATCTATTAATCACAGAAGATATACTTACCATTAGTTCTAACAGATAGAATTCACATTCTAATATCTGTTTAAAGAAAAGACTATCAATGAAATGTCAACTTGAAACCAAATTAGATAAGTCTACTTAATCTAATATAAATTATAGACATTATAGTAATTTATCAAAAATTTTTACTAAAAAGTTTTAAAAATCCAGACAATAAATGCAATTTACATGAAAATCAATATATGCAATAAAAATTACTTTTTACTATTACACATCAAATTATGATTATAGAAATTTTAATCCTTTTAAGGAAAAGCCAGCTTCTCACAAGCATTCTTATTACTCACTTTTATTTAAAATATCCTGTAAAAACATCAGATTTTCCAGTATACTTTCTACTACGCAAATGCAAAATACAATTATTTCTACTTAAAACAATGTAGCTTAAAGAGAATAAACAAATCCCTTGCAAAGTGGAAAAAGAAGGACATGCCTATTAAAATGTCTATAGAAATTCCCCTTATATTTCATACTGTTCCATTAAAGTAGTTTTTAATCCCAGCTGAATAGTATTATCACCTGGGTGCTTTTACATAGTACCAATATTGGGAGCACCAAGCCTCAAAGTTCTAATTTAGTTGTTCTGGAAAATCCAACATAAATATTATATACAAGCTCCCAAGGTGATTTAATGAGCAGACAGGGTTGATAATCACTACTATGAAGTATTTTTTTTAATGGTAAAAGCTATTTAGCTTTAATTTAGAATAATGTCTGTATTCATGTAATATCTGAAACTGCTATTTCTAGGAAACTATTAAATTTAGTCTAATATAAAATAGAGCTAGTTTATATAAAGCTTTGATAAGTGTTTTATTTTTATACTTACATGATTCATCCTATAAGGAAATTCCTTTGGAAAGGCATATGAAAATCTAGTTTTTACTGCAGAAAATAAAAAAACAATTTAAACTGAAAAAATGGGAAATGAATTAACTCAAAATTCTTTTAACAGAGCAGAATATTAGAGAGTTGAGCAAGATTATTTTCAGTAGGAATTCTTGGCAATACTTAGGGACCCAGATTTTTGATTTCAGGGAAGGGGAAAGACTGGGTGGTAGGACATCCAAGACAGCTTTAATTTTATATTTACTACTTTAAGAAAGGGTTCTGATGTTTAAAAAAGAAAAAGATCAGAAAAAAAAATCACTTTTATCATTTCTAAAATCTTTTCAACTACAGAATGGTATTCTCCTGTTTTCCAGTGACTGAGCTTAGAAGGAACGCAGGGGTTATGTATGTGTTTACAATATATACAATTGATCAAAAATATACATATAAAATATTGGGAGGATAGTACACCATTTTCTAAACTTTTTACAATGACCAGGTATTTATTAAAATATATATTTTAATAAAAGCATTAATATATGTGCAAAGGTCTCTAGAGTTTTCTTTAATGCCACACACACATAAAGTTACTACTCTATTATCTATTACTTTATTAGTCACTAAATAAAGTACAAGTGAAAAAACAATGTTAACCATCCATCCCCCATCTCCTTAAAATGGTGTGAGCATATAGATATAAGTACTATTTGAGAAAATTGTATTCATGCCATTATAATACACTTAATTCAACAAAGTAACTATTGACAGGTTCTAAAAGATCTGTTTGGTGTCAGCTTCCATTTGTACAAAACCCAATTGATCTCACTGAGATTAAAAGAAATTCCATCTCTGGCCGGGTATGGTGCCTCTTGCCTATAATTAGCACTTTGAGACACCAAGGCAGGTGGATCACCTGAAGTTAGAAGTTTGAGACCAGCCTGGCCAACATGGTGAAACCCCATCTCTAGTAAAAATATAAAAATTAGCAGGGCATAGTGGCACAAGTCTGTAGCACGCCTACTCGGGAGGCTGAGGCAGGAGAATTGCTTGAACCCGGGAGGTGGAGGTTGCAGTGAGCTGATGTTGTGCCACTGCACTCCAGCTTGGGTGTCAGAGTGAGACTCTATCAGAAAAAAATAAAAAAGAATTCCATTTCTTCTATGCACTCTATTTTCTTTTATTTTTTTTGAGATGGAGTCTTGTTCTGTTGCCAGGCTGGAGTGCAGTGTCTTGTTCTGTTGCCAGACTTCAGTGCAGTGGCTTGATCTTGGCTCACTGCAACCTCCACCTCCCAGGTTCGAGCAATTCTCCTGCCTCAGCCTCCCGAGTAGCCACAACTACAGGCTCGAGCCACCATGCCCAACTAATTTTTGTATTTTTAGTAGAAACAGGGTTTCAACATATTGGCCAGGATGGCCTCAATCTCTTGACCTCGTGATCCGCCCATCTTGGCTTCCCAAGTGCTGGGATTACCAAGCCCAGCACTATGCACTATATTTTCAAAGATTTGTTTTGCAAATTAAGTGCCCTACAGCTAATTTAGATGTGTAACATCGCCAGGATTGAAACCTAGAATGACTTAAACTTGACATTAGGAAATTTATCTTTCCTTTCTTGTCTCCTTTAAGATGGACCTATTAAGGTTTCTGAGTTTTACAAATTCTTGTGATATAAATAAGATGTAAAGCATGCCAGCAAAATAGGTTCTTTAATAATGGTAGACAATCAACAAGGTAAAATTATCTCCGTACATAAAACAAATCCACATCCTCATCTCCTGGACCTTAACACCTAACATCTCCATCAAGATTAGAGTTACCTGATGCTGTCACAATATGTCTGTTACTCCACGCTAAAACTGCTCTGCATTTTTTTCTGTCTTCTAATCCTTTTCTTACAAATTGGAGAAAAATACATTCCCTCCTCTCTATTGTTTGTCTTACCACTTATGCACTTGTCATCTATTCAATTGATATTTCTTACTATTTTTCCCATCTTTAACCTTTCCTCCTTCAGTAATCTTCCATCACATACTAATAAGCCCAAATTTCCCTTGAAACAAAACAAACTACCTAATTATATTCCTCTGCCTTTTGTTTTTGTAGACTCAAAAACTCAGAAGATCACGCACACAGTTCTCTTATACCTACTGTTATAGACTTCTCAGCCCCCAGAACTGGGAGAAATAAATGTATGTTGTGAAAGCCACCCAGTCTATGGTACTTTCTTATAGTAGCCCAAATGGACTAAGACATGCCTTCACCCAGCTTCCCCTATTATTCACATCTTACACGTTAGTGTGGCACATTTGCAACAATAACTGACCCAACATTGACATGTTATTATTAACTAAACTCCATACTTTTTTCATATCTCCTTAGTTTGTACCAATGTCCTTTTTCTATCCTAGGGTCTCATCTAGGATATCACATTACATTTATTTGTCATATTTCCTTAGACTGTTTGGCTGTGACAGTTTTCTAGCCTTTCCTCATTTTTGATGACTTTGACAGTTTTTAGGAGTACGAGAGTCAAGTACTTTGTAGAATGCCCCTCTACTGGAATTTGTCTGATGTTTTTCTCAGACTAGAGAAAATGGGTTTTTGAAAGGAAGACTACAGAGATAAAGTACCATCCTCATCATATCACATCAAGGATACATACTATTAATGTGATTTATCACTGTTGGCTATTGGCCTTGATTGCCTGGCTAAGGCAGTATTTGTCAGGTTTCTCCATTGTAAAGTTACTTTTTTCCTCCCTTTCCATAATGTATACATTATACACATTAGCAGGAAGTTAACATGTACAGCCAACACCTTAGGAGTGGGGATTTATGCTCACTCTACTTGAGGGCAGAGTAGCTACATATATTATTCTGAATTCTTCTGCATGGAAGACTTGTCTCTTCTCCCTCATTTATATGGTTTCACGGATATTTAGTTTATACTTTGAGTTATTATCCAATGCTATTTTTAAAATTTTGTTGCTCAAATTCTTTCAACTTTGGTCAGTGGGAGCTCTCTTTGTAGGCTCCTATATCCTTTTTGACATATCCTCATCAATGCAGGTTTTTGTTTTTCTTGTTTGTTTTGAATACTTCTTAATTACTGGCACTACGAGGTGCCCCAGGTCCATCGTGTGTATTTCCTGCCCCAGTCCTAGAATCAGTCATTTCTCCAAGGAGCCCTGGTATCTTTTATTGGAGAATGATATTACAAACCAAGATATGGGTACTAGGTGAGCTCACTGCTACTGGGATATCATTGCTTATACACTCTTTCAGCTGAGAAAGCCAAGAAATACACACATTAACCCATTTATATACATATATCTATAAATATTTCTATAGGTAACCATCCATATTGTGTTAAGGTACATGAGTTCATGCTGTCTCCAACTCTTTGCTTATCTGTAAATTCCCACTCCAACAATGAGAAACCTGGCTCGCAAACATTTGCTATCAATTTACATAATTGTTTAATTCCCATATACACGTATAGCATTATCAGAATCATTAACTTGTATACCCATGGGTAACAACTTTATCAACTAGAGTAAGTGCTTATGTGTAGTTCTTTTTCTGCCTTTAATCTTACACGCTAATCATTTCCAAAGTTACCTATGTTGACACCTTTCCCCTAATTCCCTTCACTGAAGTTGTTTCATATATTTGTAATAGTTAGATTATTCATTTCTCAGCACCTACTCACTTCTTAATTCCTTGCAATCTGGCTTCTTACCTCCACCCCCACATTGTTAATGACACTATGTTCTCTCTCAAAGATCTGTTTTTTACCTTTGATTCACATCTTTTTCTATGCAGCCTAAGACACTGTGCAACTCTTTTTAATTTTTAGAGACAGAGTCTTATTCTTTACTCTGTTGCCCAGGCTAGAGTACAGTAGCATATTTGTAGTTTACTGCAACCTTGAACTCCTGGGCTCAGGCAACCCTCCCAAGCATAAGACCTTGTGCAACTCTTTTTTTTTTTTTTTTGAGAGTCTTCCTTTGCCGCCCAGGCTGGAGTGCAGTGGTGCGATCTCTGCTCACTGCAACCTCCGCCTCAGGAGTTCAAGTGATTCTCCTGCCTCAGCCTCCTGAGTAGCCTAGGACTGCAGACATGTGCCAGCATGCCCAGCTAATTGTTTTTTTATTTTTAGTAGAGACGGGGTTTCACCATGTTAGCCAGGATGGTCTTGATCTCCTGACCTCGTGATTTGCCCGCCTCAGACAACATGCTGGATTACAGGCGTGAGCCAAGGTGCCCAGCCACCTTTTTTTTTAATTTTGAAGACAGAGACTTACTCTGTTGCCCAGGCTGGAGTGCAGTGTCATAATCATAACGTACTGCAACCCTGAAATCCTGGGCTCAGGAAACCCTCCCACCTCAGCCTAGTAGGACTACAGGTGTGTGCCACCATGCCCAGTTAGTTTTAAATTTTTTTGCAGAGCTGAAATCTTGCTATGTTGTCCAGGCTGGTCTTGAACTCCTGTCCTGATGTGATCCTCCAGCCCCAGCCTCCCAAAGTGTTGGGATTGCAGGCATGAACCACCATGCCTGGCCTGTGCAACTCTTAAACGTTATCAAATTCCAAATTTCTACTGCTGACCTCACATTTTTAAGAGGATGTTCTACTTTACACATTTATACTAAGAATGCCAAAGATTAAATTTAATCCTTTTCAGAACTCACTTATTCTCTTTTTCTGGTGCCACATTCAGCTCTCCAATGCCCATGCAAAAAACCTCAAAACACATTTCTAAGTCTTTTTAAATCCCATCTTCTTACAAGTCCTACTGGCTCTATCACTCAAATCTTGCTCATTTGTTGTTCTTGCTGGCTGCCAATACATTAGTTTAAGCCTTTATTAGTGTTCACCTGGATGACTTCAGCAACTTAACATTATTTTGTCCACTTTAAACTTGTTAGGTTTTATTTCTCACAGCACCCTGTGGTAAGTGACAGCACTCAATACAGTTTGCAGTTTCACTGTATTTCAAAAGTTGTTTTTAAATTAAGATACACACACACACACACACACACACACACACACACACAACATGGCCAGGCACAGTGGCTCACACCTGTAATCCTAGCACTTTGGGAGGCCAAGGCAGGCAGATCACCTGAGATTGGGGATTGGAGACCAGCCTGACCAACATGGAGAAACTCTGTCTCTACTAAAAATACAAAACTAGCCGGGCATGGTGGCACAGGCCTGTAATCCCAGCTACTCAGGAGGCTGAGCCAGCAGAATCAATTAAACCCAGAGATGGAGGTTGCAGTGAGCTAAGATCGTTATCATTGTACTCCAGCCTGGACGATAAGAGCAAAACTCCATCTCAAAAAGAAAGAAAGAAAATATAAAAATAAAACTTTCATTACTTTCAATAGAATGAAGTGCAAATTCCTTCATCTAGCATTGAAGGCCCTCTATTAACTGATATTAGTCAGGGAAGGATTTTTTCTCCACTATTTCCTTACTCACAATTTAGTTAATATAACTTATGAGCTTTCCCCAGTTCAACTATCTTCACTAAATTTTATTTAATCCTTTCAGGCAGGGTTCATCCAACAATCTTTTCCAACTCAAAACAATCACTGCATTCCCTGTAACTCTCTTATACTATTTATTTCCTTCTATATTAATATTTGTATATGTCTGTCTTTGTTGTTGTTGTTCTAAATTCCTTGTATGTATTTTAATTTGGTGCCAATGTCACTGCATTGGTACAGTGTTTTCCAGTAATAATGTTGTTGTCATTGAAGATGATGACAGCCCCTAAAATTTACTGAGTATTGTGGACCAATATATGTCCCCCTCTAAAAATTCATGGTGAATCCCTAACTCCTAGTACCTCAGAATGTGACTGGATTTGGAGAGATGGCCTTTACAGGGATACAATTAAATGAGGACAGGCAAGGCACAGTGGCTTATGCCTGTAATCCAGCACTTTGGGACGCTGAGGCAGGCAGATCATGAGGTCAGGAGATCAAGACCAGTCTGGTCAACATGGTGAAACCTTGTCACTACTAAAAAATACAAAGATTAACCTGGTGTGGTGGCACGTGCCTGTAGTTCCAGCTACTCAGAGGCTGAGGCAGGAGAATCACTTGAACCTGGGAGGTGGAGGTTGCAGTGAGCCGAGATCGTGCCACTACATTCCAGCCACTACACTCCAGCCTGGGCAACAGAATGAGACTCCATCTCAAAAAAAGAAAAAAAAAAAGATTAAATGAGGACATAAGAGTGGGCCTAATTCTGTAGGACTATTGTCCTCACATGAAGAAGATGGTAAACCAAGAGTGTTTGTGCACAGAGAAAAGTCCATGTATGAATAGCCAGACACCTTGATCTTGGATTTACATGCTCTAAAACTGTGAGAAAACACATTTCTGTTGTTTAAGCCACCTATTCTGTGGCATTTTGTATGGCAGCCTCAGCAAAGTAACATAGTAAGCAAGGCACTGTTCTAAAAGTTTTATAAATATTAACTCATTTGATTCTCATAAAAACCCAACAACATAGATATTATTAATATCCTCATCTGCAAGATGAGGAAACTAAGGCACAAAGAAGAATTTTGCTCAGTTTGTCCCACAGAAAGCACTGGAGTTAAAATCTGAAACCCAAGCAGCCTGGGCCTATGAAATACACTATAAAATTTATGAAATAAATAAAGTAGCCTATTATAAGATTTTCCTATTTATTGGTAACCAAAACCTCTTATGAATGTACTTTTTAAGTCTTTGCATGAAAAGTGTAAATAAACAAACTTTAATAATAGGTACCTCAAATTAAGAAATACATATACTTTCTAAAAAGTTTAGAAAACAGAGACTAAACAAAAAAGAAAGTAAGACCCCTATAATCTACTGGGCAGAGATGAACACTGCTAACATTCTGGTAAGAATTCCTTCTAGTCATTTTATAATTTTTTAATTGTTTGATTTTCTAGAGGGCAATTTAATACTTCTTCAATGTGATCTATTTGGTATATTAAACTTTTTGGCAAAACTGATTGATTATCAATCTTCTACCCTTAAAAGAATTAAGATGTGACATGGAGAAGACTGAATTAGATTATAATACTATCTCAGAAAGGGGAATGACCCAAAATATAAAAATCAGTAGGCTGTGTGCAATGGCTCACATCTGTAATCCCAGCATTTTGGGAGGCCAAGGCAGGCAGATCAAAAAGTCAGGAGTTCAAGACCAGCCTGGCCAGCATGCTAAAATCCCATTTCTATGAAAAATACAAAAATTAGCCAGGCATGGTGGCATGCGCTTGTAATCCCAGCTACTCAGGAGGCTAAAGCACCAGAATTGCTTGAACCTGGGAGGTGGAGGTTGCAATGAGCCGAGATCACACCACTGCACTACAGTCCAGGTGACAGGGCAATACTCCATCTCAAAAAAGAAAAAACATAGCTACTTAGTAACAACTGGAGCTAAAAGTTAGCTCCACTGACTACAGAATCAGCTTTTTTTCTGCACCATGTTTTTAAATATGGAGGTTTGAAGCATCTAATTACCATCGAAGACAGACATCGAGTGCTAAATTATTTATTCCACCCATAAGAATGACATTAGTCAATAGAAAACAATACAATATAATAAAATTAGGAAATGAAATTTTTTCTTTACTCTTACAAGATTAAAAGTCACTGAGTTGATGTTTTTGGATTGATAATTACTATCTTTTTTTTTTTTAAACTTAGTGTCTTGCATTGGAAATTACTATTTCTAACATTAAAAGTAATATCTTTATAATGCTTATAACACTATGTGTTTTAAAAACAAAACAAAACAAAAAACAAAACAAAAAAAAACTGGTTTTAGCTTGATTTTTTGCCAAATACACTAGACATAAAGTTATCCTCAGGAAATGTAACAAAGTCAACCAATCTCTCATATGTCTCATAAACCAAAAAAAAAAAACCTATGTACTCTGGAGCTTTCTTCAAATTCTATCCTTAAAGCAGATATACTTTTTGTACTTACATACAGAAGTAGCAGCAGCAGTCAATCTTGTATTTGAAACTACTCCAAATTCCTAAAGAAAGAAAAGCAGATGAGATCAGGTTCATGTGAACCCAATGAAACTAAGAGTGTCTGAACTCTATTCAAAACAGAGGATTTCCCTGCTCCCCTCTTTACAATCTGTTCACCTTCTACCCATTTGAGCCATAAAGTACTTAAACCCTTAAATGTACAGGTTGATTACCCCTTATCTGAAATGCTTAGGATCAGAAATTTTTCTGATTTAGAAATATTTTTACATTACACTGGTTGAGCGTCCCTAATCTGAAAAACTGAACTCCAAAATGTTCCAACAGGCATTCCTTTGAATGTCATGTCAGTGTTCAAAAAGTTTCAAATTTTGGAGCATTTGGGATTTTCAGATTAGGGATATTCAACCTTAATTACCATTCCACCAAATTGCTACAACTTAAGACAAATTTTAAAATAATTGTACAATTTAATAACAATAAAAGGTACCAAATTAGAAACCAAGCCTTAAAGTTACAGTGCCAGTTTCTGCATTTAAATTAGCTTCCAAGAAGATTGTTTAGATTCTATACTTAATTGCAAGAATAAATATTAAGTATGTTTCTTATTCAATTCAACCTGTACTAACAGATACTTCATGCCATTTAATGACACAACAAAATCTGTGAGTAAAATAAATCTTAATTAATCACCAAAAAACTAAAAAAAACAAACAACCATATAAACAGTTACTATCCTTTTTGGAACAGGGAGATAAGAATTACATAAGACTTCCAAGGTCAATTTTCATTTCCTCTTTCAACTGAATAACCACCATTGTAAAAATACTAAAATTTATTATGACCCACCTTATTTATATACACAGTCTCATTTATTGCCTCATAATATTCCTAAAGCTTTCACTTCATTTTAAAATAAAAAAATCAAGAGTTCGTTTCTTATCCAACAGAAGAAACTAAGCTAAAAATCTATTCAAATACCTTCAACCTACATCCTTATTCTGTGTAGGGAAAATGTGTGTACTAATATATTTGTTTTACATCTAAACCTCCAACTATAATAACTGAAAACAAAAAGTAAAAGCTTGAGACATGTTCTTAAATAAGATTTCTATACAATTTCCATAATACTAGAGAACATGCAGGAAGATGTGGTCACAGAAATAAAAAAATAATGTTATAAATCTGAAAGACTACATTCTGTTTTTCAGGAATATTTATTTTTTTTTTTTAAGACAGAATCTTGATCTGTTGCCCAGGCTGGAGTACAGTGGCATAATCTCAGCTCACTGCAACCTCCACCTCCCAGGTTCAAGTGATTCTCATGCCTCAGCCTCCCAAGTAGCTGGGATTACAGGCGTCTGCCACCACACCTGGCTAATTTTTGTATTTTTAGTAGAGATGAGGTTTTGTCATGTTGGCCAAGCTGGTCTCAAACTCCTGAACTCAAGTGATCCATCCACCTCAGCCTCCCAAAGTGCTGGGATTATAGGTGTGAGCCACCACACCAGGCCTAGGAATTCTTTATCCAAAACTCAAAGGGGAAACTTTCATTCAGTAAATCACATCACAGAGTTCTACTCAGTAAATCAAATAACAATATTTAACAAATAAAAGCCTTAAATTAATTTACAAGATTAAATGTTTATAAAGATTTTGTCTTGGTCTCCCATACTGCCTGTGCTTAAGACACTTAAAATTATTACACGGTAATACTTAAGTAAAATCAAATATTACACAGTAGAATTATTAGAATTAGAAAAATCAATCCATAATAAAAACCTTTAATAAATACTTTCTTTTCCATTAAAGAACTTAACAAAAACAAAGCTGGTTCTGCCTTAACTACCACTCACAATTAGAAAACATAATCTTCTAGAAAGCTTGTCTTAATATTATTTCTAACAGAGGCAACTGTCATTATTTAGGTAAACATTGGGGAAGATGTCATGGATAATCTTAAATCATGGCAAAAACAAAACTAAATCAAAGTGGGTACCAAAAGGAATGTAAACTTACTAGGTAAAAATCACATTCAATATCCAAGAATAAAACTACCACTCTAAGACATTATCCAAAAATAGAAATATAATGCAAAGATTTTACACCACAAAAACTACATTAATTATTTATGGAAAACAGTCAATATCTGCTTTTATTTTCTGGATTTTAGCTGAGCTGTTTCAAAAATGTGACAAAGGCAAAAGAAACTGAACAGAAATTCAGTCTCTGCTGCAAGTTCCTATCTATCTTCTCTCCCTTACCTAATTTCTCTACTCTCACAACCCAAACTTTTACTTGTTAGAATCTATACAGCTATAGCGTCCCCTAATCCTTGCCTTCCTTGTGGCTTGGTAGGCAGCCAATCATCAGAATGATAGGAGGGAAGATAGGAGAAGATAAGGACATGGGTGAGAAGGAAGAGGGACATTCTCAGGTTATGGCAGGCAAGCTATGGGTACTTACTGAATAATACTTAGTGCCAAACAAGAAATGTCTCAAAGGCAGCAAAGGAAAGTAGTTAAGAACACAGGATTGGTAATGAGACTCCCATGGTTCAAACACGGGCTCTGACACTTACCAGCTGTATAATCTTAAGCAAGTTCTTCATCTCTCTCTGTCTCAGTTTCCTCATTTATAAAATGGGAATACTACTACTATGTATTCCAGTTTGTTACGAAGATTAAGTCAGTTGGTACACAGTAAGTGCTGTATGTGTCTGTTAAGTGAATATATAAGGATATGTATATATTTCTTTGACTTTGTACAATTTTAGTATTTTGCATAAATTACCATTAATTGTATATAGGCAATGTGAAAACTGGGGCAGATTAACCAACATACATTAACTACACTTTGATGAAGAACAAAAAATCATTTTATACCTCTACTTTGGATGCCAAAAACACACATGTAGGAGCCATTAATACAGGATCTATACTTTTCAGAGAATACCTAAAATATGATAAAGCAAAGTTAATTATCATTCATATAGAAAGCACACTGGGAAAAAAAAATCAAGATAACTCTATGGCAGACACATGATTCATTTACACTGTGCTAAGGTTCATCCATATTAGATAAGAGTTCAAATAAATAAAATAAAAATAATCCTACCTGGCATAGAATCTCTTGAAATATACTGTAGCAGTGGCAATAACTTGTTGTCTTAATTTAAGATGTTCACCTAATGCCTGGATAACTAAAGGGAAAATAATGATATTTTAAATGTATCTTCTGGGATCATTATAATATTAACATTGAACAGTAACTTCCATGTGGTTAAATCATAATTATATTAATTTTTAACAAAGGAAAAAACATGTGCATGCTCTATATGAGCCACAGTGGTCTAATACAAGGATTTGTAAATGTGTTAAGAAATAAATAGGAGTGCATAAACGACAACAACAAAATAGAAATTGCCCCACAGCAAAATATTATTCATGCATTAAGGAAGTTGAGTAAGTATTTTCCCTCTATCTTCTAAATATTTTTAATGCCTTTCATATTATCTTTATAATAAATATAAAAAGAAAATATTAGATGCCTATGAAACTTGTTAATACTACCACTTTTTTTGTTGTTTTGAGACAGATATTCTGTTGCCCAGGCTGGACTGCAGTGGTACGATCTTGGCTCACTGCAACCTCTACCTCCCGGGTTCAAGTGACTCTTGTGCCTCACCATGCCCAGCTAATTTTTGTATCTTTAGTAGAGAGGGGTTTTACTATGTTGGCCGGGCTGGTCTTGTATCCCCTGGCCTCAAGTGGTCTGTCCATCTATGAATCCCGAAGTGCTAAGATTACAGGTGTGAGCCACCACACCCAGCTAATACTACCACTTTATACAGTTCACCAAGAAAAAAAAAAATCCATAATAAATCCTCAAAACAGAGAAATGTTTACAAAACAGTGAAATGAAGGTTAAAAAAAATTATGACAGACTTACTACAAAGCAAAGACCTATCCCTAAATCTTCTTCCCTTCAAAACAAAGTTCTAAGATAGAAATGTCCACTATAGGATGTCAATCCAAAGACTCATTTATCCTCAAAGTCAAAGTACTTTGCTTTAGCCAACCTTGAACTGCATCTAATAATTATTATAAAGCCTGAGGGAGATTAGGTAATACTTTCAAATTGTCTTGAGTGCCTGTGACATGTAAAATTCACACCAAAAAATCTTTATTTAGATCACTAAAAAGTTGTAAAAAAAAAAAATACATGTATAAATAAAAATGTTAGGTATGGACTAAAATAGCTCACAAATTACCACACAAAAACATTTTAATTCAGAGGTAATCAACTATAACATTTTAACCAATTTCTTAAAAAGTTTACCATTTGTAAAAAATATTTGTAACTTCCAATATTCTTCTTCCGAGAGAAACTTTAAATCCTTTTGGCGCTCCTTCAACAGATCTTGTTTATCCAAAATCCATTGCAAACTAGAAAAGACATGTTACAGAAAATCAACAAGCAAAGTCAGAGAAAACACTCTGATTGAACAGGTTGTTCATATTCTGAGAAGCACAAAGTGCAAAAAGTAACCTTAAAGTCAATTAGGTGAATAATATCTCACTAATAAATGTAAATATGTACTGAAAAAACTTGCTCTAATCTTTTCCTTCTTCCTCCTTAGTCTTTCTGTTACAAACTTATATTTCATTGATTCTAAGACTCTGATACCAAAATATGTCTTACAATCTGTGATGCCTTTGTGTTGTAATTGGCAGCATGTTTTTTTGTTTGTTTTTGAACAGAGTTTCGCTCTTTTTGTCCAGGCAGGAGTGTAATGGCACGATCACCACTCACTGCAACCTCCGTCTCCTGGGTTTAAGTGATTCTCCTGCCTCGGCCTCCCGAGTAGCGGAGATTACAGGTGTGCACCACCAAGCCCAGCTATTTTTTTTTTTTTTGGCCAATCAATTTGAGCTTATGAGGTTGCTCCGGTTAGCCTTGAACTCATGACCTCGCCTTCGCAAGCGTCACGACCTCCGGCAGGAGCCCCTTTGGACCCCTATTTTTGTATTTTTTAGTAGAGATGGGGGTTTCTCTATGTTGGTCAGGCTAGTCTCAAACTCCCAACCTCAGGGGATCCGCCTGCCTCAGCCTCCCAAAGTGCAGGGATTACAAGCGTGAGCCATCATGCCCCGCTTGGCAGCATGTTTATTCTTTCTTAGTGATATAAGATAATGGTAGAATTATTTGGCACCAATTGATGGTGGCTTACGTTTGAAGTATATAGTTTTTCAGCTGTTCATAAGTAACTATGGCATTTAATTTCCTTATTTCACAAATCTAATTATATTAAAAACTGCCTCAGAATGTGTTACACTGATAGCCTCCTCCTCTTGCTTAGTCGAGTGTACTATTTTTAACTGGAGATATGAAATTGACATGACTCAAAGAAAAAACTATGCTGAACCTTGTCATTCAATACTTATTGGAAGTCTTATGTCAAGGAACTTGTTATTCAGCATTCTTTTACATAACTTTATGGATGGATCACTTAGCCAATCTTTACTGATGGAAATATAGGTTATCATTTTTTCTCTGTTACAAATATACTTTAATAAATATCATTGTAATTTTCCTTGCCCATTTGATTAATAATATATTTGAAATAACTTCCCAGAAGTCGAATTAATGGGTCAGTGTTGCTGGTAACTTATTGACACACATTGTCAGTTTACCCTCCAAAAACATTATACTGATTTCCATTTCTATTAACAGTTTATGAGTGAATCCTAAAATATTTAATCCTATTGGTTACTGCCAATTTTAAATACTTTGTAACTTAAAGGCAAAGTAGTATATCACTGTTTCTTTCCCCTGTAGTTAACTTTTGAGGTTAAACATCTTTTCCATATCTTCACTGTTCAAATGCAGTTCTTCTTTTATACAATGTTAATTCTAATAGGACCATTTTTCTAATGTGATTACTTATTTTTTTAATGATTAAGAGAGTCTTTTGATATAAAATTTGTATAGTATGGATAAGTCATTTGCTTGTCAAATAACTGTAAAATTTCTCCCAAGTTTAAATATCTCTCAGTATTTAATTATTTATAATAGAGAAAGCTGAATTACTTACTTAAATCTACCTGTCTTTTACTTTCATGTTTGTCAGGCATAAAAAGTCCTTCCCTGATTCCAAAATGATAAAAAACTATTCACCCATGTTTTCTAATACCCTTAGGGGCTTTTTTCCTTCAATTTATATGATCCATCTGGAATTTTGGTACAGAGTATAAAGTAAGGATCCAGCTAAACATTTTGTCAAATGATTATCCAAATGTGCTAAGGTATATCCTGATTTATAGTTCTATCATTATATATAATTTCCTATTTTTGTTTTTCTTGTTCATATGCTGTGCTATTTTAAAACACAGAAACTTAAGTAAGTAATTGCTGGTATGAAAAATACTCCCTTGCTACTATTCTTCTGAAATTTTCTGACTATCCTATTGCAATTGTTATTCTGAGACCTAAACTTTAGAAGCATTATGTCAAGTCCTAACAAAGAATATCCATTCAAATTTTGTGACTGAATTACATTTAAAGATCAACATAGGGAGAAATGACATCTTACCGAGAATTCAAAGTCTATTGAAATCTCTACGTGCCACAATGTTTTAAAGTTTTCTTCCTACAGCTTCTGTATATTTCCTCATATTTTTCCCTTTGTATTTTATATTTTCCGTTGCTAATGTAAATTATACTTTCCTATCAGTCTTTTTTTTTTTTTTTTTTTTTTTGAGACGGAGTTTCGCTGTTGTTACCCAGACTGGAATGCAATGGCACGATCTCAGCTCACCGCAACCTCCGTGCCTCCTGGGTTAAAGCAATTCTCCTGCCTCAGCCTCCTAAGTACCTGGGACTACAGGTGTGTACCACCATGCCCAGCTAATTTTTGTATTTTTAGTGGAGATGGGGTTTCACCTTGTTGACCAGGATGGTCTCGATCTCTTGACCTCGTGATTCACCCGCCTCGGCCTCCCAAAGTGCTGGGATTATAGGCGTGAGCCACCACGACCAGCCCATTCATTTTTAAAAAGCTTTTATTTTTGCATTTTGTAACTGGTCACCTGATTAAACTTTTATTATTTTGAATAACTTTTCAATTAACTGAGTTTTCTCATAAATTTTATTTCCACATATTGATAATTTTGTTATTCTTTTGTCATTCTTTCTATATCTCATTTGTATCAACTGTATTGACTAGTATATTGGGAAAATCTTAAATAGGCACCCTAATTATCCCAATGTTTTACCACTGCTGATGCTTTGACATGTTTTTCATGTTAAGGAAGCATCCTATTTCTGTTTTAGTAAGAGCTTTAGTCAAGGATAAACGTTGAATTGTATTAGTTTTTTAATGCCTTCAATGTTTAATAGATTTCTTAGTACTGACTGTATTTCTATAATAAAATCCACTGTCATGTTTTATAATTTCAATGTAACATTAGACTGCATTTGGTAATAATTCATTTACAATGTTGACATCAATATTAAAAAGTGAAACTGTTTTTAGTGTTCCCTTTGCTAGATTTTTCTCTAGGTGTTTTCATGGCTTCATAAAGAGGATTAGAAAGCCTTTCTTCTTTCTGTATGAAATGGAACAATTTCAAAAGGAGAGTCTCCTGAAAGATGGAAAGTATTGACCCATGAAATAAGGCATAGATCTTGGGTAATATTCTTAACTTGCTTTGGCTTTCAAATTTAAAGTAGTGAAGATAACCCAAAAGTACCCCTGAGTTTATTTACTCTTCTCTACTAAAAATAAAAAAATTAGCCGGGTGTGGTAGCAGAAGCTTGTAGTCCCAGCTACTCAGGAGGCTGAGGCAGGAGAATTGATAAAACCTGGGAGGTGGAGGTTGCAGTGAGATGAGATTGCGCCACTGCACTCCAGCCTGGGGACAGAGTGAAACTTTGTCTCAAAAAAAAAAACAAACTTTTTTCCTTTTAATAGGTTAGCATCAGTGTTATCTATTTAAAGTCCTTCTTTCTGTTTCTTTAAGTTTATTTCATGTTTCCTTTTTAATATTCTTAAATAGAATATTTCTATTATCTCTCAGTTATTCAGGATATTGATTTTCTAATATATTCAGCTTTGGTTACATTCCATATATAATATTATGATGTTATTTTCTAGATATTAAGTAACTGTATTTTCAGTTTCCTTTTTCACACAATAAAGTATTCACAGTTTTAGTTTTTCATTCTGTTACTTGTTCATTAATGCATTCAAGCAACCAGCAAAGACTTAGTGCCCTTCTAGCTCATTTTGGTCAAACTGTGTTTTGTTCTACTTCAACTACATTGTGGTTTGCTAATTAATTTTACCTCCAGAGTCATTTTATGTTTTTAAACAGGTAAATGTCACAAATATTTTAAGAGTTTTCCTCGCAGAACTCTGTATGGAGGATAAACTAAAAAGATTTATAAATACTGCATTTCATCAAATTTAAGATTACATCTAGAATTCATCATTATTTCATATGCTATAAAAGAAATTGCTATGCTGATTTTAAAGATGTTAAAGTGTGAAAATGTGCATCTTAAAAGCATGTAACACAGTGTATTTAACGTCAAGTGCCCTCTTTCACCAAATTCACCTAAGACAACGGCCTTTCATAATCTTTTTGTTTGTTTTTCCAGAATTGTCTTGTCTTTCATACTTGTTACCTTTTCTGGATGAAGAACCCCATGACTGCTCAAGGGATTTGAGCAAGGCAAAGTGGTCCCTTCCTTTAGGACTATTTGAATTGGGAGAAAACAGCTTTAAAGAAGTATACTTAACTATAATAATTTTATATTTGAAAAGTGAAAAAAGTTTTTACAATGCTACGAATAAATGAAAGCACAATAAAAACACTTATTGAAAAAAATGCAGGATCTTTTCTTAGGTTGAGAAACTGACAAATAAACGCCAGCTACTTGTCAATCTCTCAGCTTCTTCCTTAGTTTATCGGAATATCTCTTCTCCACTACCTAAACAATTTTTTTCAGGAGCTCTAATTCCAATACCTAAACTTTCCATACTTTAATTTTGCCCAATATTTCAGCATGTGAAAACAATGCATTACACACACACACACACACACACACTCAGTGGTAAATCTTCTTTAACATGTAATCTCCACTTTATAGCAAGAGGAAAACCTGCTTTTCCTTAAAAAGGTTACCGAGCTCATGTTTTCTTTTTTTCTCCTAAAAAAATGAACATCAGGAACAGATCCTATTCACAGAATCAAAATTTAAATTACTTACTAATGCTTTCTTACCATCAAAAATTATACTAGGATATCTTCTTTGTCAAGTTCTGTTCATCTTTCAACTATACTCAATTGGCCCCATCACACACCTTTCTGCCTGCTTAAACAAATGTATTTAGGGCTAAGTGTTTTTAATATTATTCTAGCTCTCACACAGTCACTGACAGAAACAAGAACTTATTCATGAAAAAGGTTAAGGAAATAGGTAAACAAAATCACTGGAAAATAGACCTTTAAAACAAAATATAAGGCACAGGCTAATGAAATGGATAAATTTTGAGGGCACCTGCCCTATACCTTATCAACATAAAACTTCATCTAGACATAAAGTACTGGCAAGAAGCGGTCAGTAGGCAGAAACAAGCACGACTCTCTCCTTTCTTAGGAATATAAATCCACTCAAGATATAAAGTGAATGACAAAAGATCACAATGCCGATCACCCGAAGAAATCCCAGGCAAAAGCACGCCACAACTGTCCTGAACAAGTAGCCTCACAGTCCTGAGCTGACTCACACTTCCCATACCTGTGCCCACTCCATCCGACCCCCCGCGGCCTAGCTAAACCAATAATCAGAAATTAAACTCCGAATCGTTCCTTCCCGGGAGACTAAACTCTTCCTCCACCCCTCCCCCTTACAGATCCTTCCCTCCCCGACACTGGGGCTAGGGGCGGGGAGGAGAGAGTCGCCTCAGAAAAGCGCATCTTCCTTCTGGCCGCTGCCGTCTCCGGTGAGGACCCCAGCATTCCGGGCCGAGGCCGGGATCCAGGCCCAGGGGAGTCGCAGGCCCCGTCCTCACAGCCCCCCAAAAAACCGGCCCTAGATGAGAAGACGGAAGATCACTTACTAGTGGGAGCTCTGCCAAAAGTTCCCTGCCATGGAACACAGCTTGCCCTGATAAAAAAGCACCAGCCGGCGGAGCGGCCCACGGAGCGACCATAGACCCAGCCCGTCCGGTAACCGCGCTCCTCGATCAAATCAGCTCGGCTCGGCTCCGCACCGCGGCGGCGGCGGCGAAAGGAAGAGGATGGCCCCCTATTCTCCTTGACGCCGGCCGACAACACTCAACTGTGCAAACCCGTTCCTATCGACAAAAGTTCCGGCCCGCTGTAGCGGAGGGAGCCGGCACGGAGGCGTTGACCTGTGGGTGCGCTGAGATGGAAGGGAACTAGAGATCGCGAGAGCTCGCAGCTCGGCGGTTGGAAAGCTCTCGAGAGAGCATTTTGCCGGTTCTGGCCTAAGGCCCAAGCCCCTCAGTCTCCTGTCCTCAGTACGGGAGTGGCTGAGTGGGTCTAACCTGGAGAAAGCAGCTTAGTTCGGGGGTTGTGTTATTACCTCTTCCAGTGCTTCAAAAACAGGACAATGGCATTATAATAAAGTATAAGATTTTGTGACTTCTTTTTCCTGTGATTGGAAAAAGGAATAAATGAAGATGACTTTGTTCTCGCTGATCAAGTGTCCTTTTTTCATTTTTACTTTACTTTTTTTTCCTTTTTTGAGACGGAGTCTTGCTCTTGTAGCCCAGGCTGGAGTGCAATGGCGTGATTTCGGCTCACTGCACCCTCTGCCTCTGGGGTTCAATCGATTCTCCTGCCTCAACCTCCCGAGTAGCTAGGATTACGGAAGCCTGCCACCACGCCTGGCTAATTTTTGTATTTTTAGTGGAGACGGGGTTTCGCCATTTTGGCCAGGCTGGTCTCGAACTTCTGACCTCGTGCTCCGCCCGCCTTGGCCTCCCAAAGTATCGGGATTACAGGCGTGAGCCACCGCGCCCAGCTTATTTTTTACCTTTGAGACAGTCTGGCTCTGTCACCCAGGCTGTAGTGCAGTGGCACAATCTCGGCTCACAGCAACATCCACCTTCCGGGTTCAAGTGATTGTTTCTGCTACCTCAGCCTCCCAAGTAGTTGGGATTACTGGCCCCCCCAGCCACGGCCGCCTAATCTTTGCATTTTTAGTAGAATGGGGATTTCGCCAGGCTGGTCTGAAACTTCTGACCTCAGGTGATCCGCCCTCCTCGGCCTCCCAAAATTCTGGGATTAACAGGCCTGAGCTACCAGGCCCGGCCTGGATCAAGCCATCTTAATGGAGTTCTTTTGGAGAGATAAAGTGCAAATTTAGAGAGCAGCAGAACCACCAGTTTTGCAGAACATCTAAAAGCAGTCATGCATATATGTATGCACACATATGTGCATGTATGCATCAAATAGAAACATACTGCAAAAATGCCGTAATTTAATTTTACAAGATTAAATAATGTATTTTCCGTTTCATTTTCATTGTACCAATGCATTTATTGTAAAACTTCTAATTTTTTTTCTAAATAATTGGACACTCCAGAAATTTGTTTATAGACGATCAGCATCTGAGACAACTAAAGACAGTATTTGTCACATTGTGGGTGGAGACCAATTAGGGTGTGGTAAAGTTAAGTATAATCGTTTTCCTAAATGAACAGAAAGTACTAGGTAAATCTGAAATAGCAAGGATGTTATATTTAAATTTGGTTCAGTTATATATATATGTATGCAAACACATATATACGTACACAGTCAAGATGTGAAATGCATTTATTTGTGTGTGAGAATTCGTCTACACCAGGTTCAGTGGCTCACGCCTGTAATCCCAGCATTTTGGTATGCTGAGGTGGGCAGATCACTTGAGGTCCAGGAGTTCGAGAACAGCCTGGCCAACATGGTGAAACTCCATCTCTACTAAAAATACAAAAAGTTAGCTGGCCATAGTGGTGAGTGCCTATAGTCCCAGCTACTTGGGAGGCTGAGGCACAAGCATCACTTGAACCCAGGAGGCGGAGGTTGCGGTGAGCAGAGATTGTGCCACTGCACTCCAGCCTGGAGTGAGACTCCAAATCAAAAAAAAAAAAAAAAAGGAAAAAGAAAAAAGAATGAATTATTCTGGATTAGTTACACTAGGCGAAATTGTGGTAACACCTCCCTACCCCCACCCCAATCACCATAGCTTAATATAAAAGTATTTTATATGTCATATGTCACTCCCATAAAGTCCCATAAAGTCTGCTTGCTCTCCTTGGTGGTTGTCTTCCAGATCTTCAAGAATCTAATACATGTCTTTCAATTACTCTGTCTTGATGGCCTTTGCTTCTAGGCTTAAAATCTTTCTAGAGAAAGCACAGAGGACTCACACTAGCTTTTACCCAGTGTTAAGGGCCTTGAAACATAAACAACCCAATCACCTTCTCTCATGGGCATTGACCAGAATAGACACATGCCTCCAATTTAACTGTGAAGAAAGCTGAAAAATGTAGAGGAGTGTGTAGTATACTTGATGAACACTTTGCATTACAGATCACAATAAAAATATTTAAAAGGCACTATCTTAAGAAACTCCAAGTCATGGGCTGTTTCACAGCTTGAGGATTTCTTCATTCTCTCAGTGTTTGTTTTGTTTGTTTTTGTCAGCCTGGCATCATCCAGAAGATAAGGATACTGCAACGAATTACTATTACTAATGTTTTATTCTAAGCGATCCTATTACACTTTGTTTCTGTCACTGGACTAGCACTTAATTTCTTTTTTGAGACAGAGTCTCTCTGTGTCGCACAAGCTGTAGTGCAGTGGTGCAATTTTGGCTCACTGAAACCTCTGCCTCCTGTGTTCACACAATTCTCCTGCCTTAGTCTCCCAAATAGCTGGGATTACAGGTGACCACCACCATGCCCACCTAATTTTTTTTTTGTATTTTTAGTAGAGATGGGATTTCACCATGTTGGTCAGGTTGGTCTTGAACATCTGACCTCAGGTTATCTACCCGCCTTGGCCCCCCAAAGTGCTAGGATTACAGGTGTAAGTCACTCGCCCTGCTACTTTGTTTTATACCTAATTCTGCACTCTTCTTCCTACAAAATAGTGAGCTCCTTCATCTTTGTATCTCCATTAGTTCAGGGTATAATGTGTAGTAGGCATAGCAAATAATCGTGTTTAAATCTCTTATAGAATTGGGGGGATGTGCATTGATATAAGTTATGAATACAAAATTATGTTGAATAGTGAATACAATATATAGAATACAAAAAGGGCCACAACAACTTACTAGAGCTGTGGAAATTCAGGTTCCTTCCTTCTGTGAACAATTTTAGGCAATTTACCGTAAGTGCTACATAGAACCTCTTCCTGTTTGTGACCAGGTATCTGCTGCCACCAAATGCCCAGCAGCTCCCAGTGCTCATGGGAGCTGTGCAAGTCACAGGCCTGGAGCTCAGGCTTCCTTAGTTTCAGAGTAAATTGCCTTTGAGGACATTTTATAAATGTAGTTTGAATTAGATTGACTTAAACCAAAAGCTAACTTCATTTAAGTATATCTCTAGTGGAATAGGGAAATTTACAAATCTTTTAAAATGCATAGACATCCCAGCTTACCTGGATGCAAAAAGATGCTGAGCTGTCTAGTAGATTTGCCTTTTTTTGCTGATGATTTTTTAAACTTTTCAAAATAATGTTGGGAGTATTATTTTTCAGTCCTTACTACCCACTAATTTAAACTTGTTGAAATAAGTTAATGTTGTCCCTTCCAATTTTCAACTTAACTTGTGCTTTTCAAATAGGGGTGTGTTCAATAAATTCTTTTTAAATTTTTTTTTTATTTTTGTGGCTACATAGTAGGTGTATGTATTTATGGGGTACATGAGATATTTTGATACAGGCATGCAATGAGTAATAATTACATCAGGGTAAATGGGTATCCATCATCTCAGGCATTTATTCTTTGTGTTACAAATAATCCAATTATACTCTTTTAGTTATTTAAAAATGTCAATAAATTCTTGATGCTACTCTCCTGTGACAAGAAAGCATTTATCCTTTTTCTTCTTACAGTGCATTTCTCCAGCAGAATGAATACTATTTCTAGTAAACTAGGGCCTAGAAGGTTGGTGGCTTTACCAAGCTCACTTAGTTAAGTAGTGGAAAGAGCAATTAGAATTGGATTCTTTTGATTCACAGTGCAATAACTTTTTTATCCTACTAGACAGCTTCAAGAAAACTACTATGATTAAACTACTAAAAGCACATATTTCCAAGTTTGTAGCACAAGTTTTTCTTCTCAAACACAATTATTGGTGATAACCTCTTATTTAAATTAAATTATTATCATAATACTTTGCTTTGGTATTAATAGTCCTTATTGTGAAAAACGTCCTCTTTATTTAGTCATCCCCTGTACTTCCCTTTATTTTAGTTCCAGAATACCTATATTTGTTAAAGATGAATGCACTTCTAAATTATGGAAAAGTGTCTTTGTTTTGTGCTATAAGAGAATAGTACAGACTGGGTAATTTACAATTGTCAACCTAGATAACAAACAGAGAGAGGTTCTCTAAAAGAAAATGATCTTTATTCAAGAATAGAGTATTGGAATAGGAGTATGTGCACCCTTAGTAAACTACATGGGCATTTAAAGGAACACAAAGGTTTTTAAACGAAAATGGAGAAGGATTACATAATTGTTTTGAAATAATTTAGCCATGGCTACAAGGATCAGTTACAAAGATGACACCAGTCCAAGGTTAGATAGGCAGTTGCTGGGCAGATATCCTCGCAGAAATACTGTTTCGTATGCAAGGTTGCTGTGGTGTTTGTGCAATGTTATGGTTTTTGCAGCATCTTTTGTGATAGTTTTTGTTACCAGGCATTTATTTGTGAGAACCCTTCCTTCGTGGTCCTTTTTGGCTCTGTTTTTTTTATTTTTTAACCCAAGTGACTCCATTTTGATCCTGACAACTTTTACATAATGAACAGAAATTTATTAGGTCATGGGTTCTTGATGCTGGGAAGTCCAAGATTGACGGGTGGGCATCTGGTGAGGGCTACATCATCCTGTGGCAGAAGGACAAAGAGAAGGGGGGGAGTGAGAGAGAGAGAGAGAGAGAGAGAGAGAGAGAGAACACAAGAGAGTGCAAGACGGGGCCAAACTCATCCTTTTATAAGAAACCCATTCCCAGGATAACAGCAT